TGATGATGCTATACAATATATTATATTAATTTGTTTTTTTTAGATATCAATATCGGCATAAAAAAGAGAAACAAGGTGACTGTATTCATGTAACAAATTCTATTTAGTGTATCTTATTCACATGATATTGATCAATGTACATTTTTGACAGCAGTATAAAATAATTCATTTTTTTTTTGTTAAAAGTATAAGTTATCTGACATAGGTCAGCATATCTTGCTAAAACAACACGTCATCTATTATTCATTATTGGATAAACAATCTATACTACTGTCGTCGTGTCTCTTGAATATTTAAGAGTTTCCTTCAAAGTTTGAACAGAAAAGAGCGGCTCGTTTTTTTATCGCATTATTCTCGTGTTATACAAAATTTTATTAATATTGCATATCACGTCTCACTGTCTAATGCTGTGCAACGTGCACATGTAATTTTCATTTTTTTAAATCTTAATCTAGAATAATAATGTATTAAGCTTACATATGTAAGCCAGTAGTCGACTACTCGTTCCTGACTAATTACTGTTATCGCTTTTAATCGCTACGTTCCAGTTTAAAACCCTCTGATTAAATGCAACGTTAACTTCAACGAGCGACAGACTGGCAGAATTTTTAGGCTCGATGCATTAATTACAAGTTAGGGCGATGCTTGTCTTATAATTTGCACGATACTGGACGGAAGCTCGAATTCCTTGTGAGAATGCAATTATATAAAAATAAAAAAAAAGCAAAGATTCAGTCGTCGACAATCTTTGCTTTGTAAGTTAGTATCGATTCGTCTAAGGTAACATGCTTCGAGAAGGTTACACGTGATCGCGTTAGAGAGACGCATTGCGGATCGGTAAATTTTTAAAGTATCCAGGAAATGCAGTTGGAATATTAAAAAAAAAATATCTCTTGAATATTTTGTATTACTCAAATTTTTATTGTTAACTTCTTCAGACTCTGTGTACATTGTAATGTACATCAAATTTAAAAACAATGCCCGTTGAAATTATTTAATTTCATCATTTGAAATCAGATGTACATAATAATGTACAGGGTACATCATCAAAATCTGGACAATTTCTTTCAATTTAAATTTTCCGCTATATTGTGCCTCCGCCAGAAGCATCCGAGAAAGCCTGATGCTTCCAATAAACAGTCATATTTTTAAAATGGCCACGATATTGAAACCAAATGTGGAGTATGATCGAAGAGCCGATCATCGAAGGTGCTGGGCGCTCAGCAACGAAAATAATTCGGTTCTTTGGATACCCGAGATCAATTTATGATAAAATATGCTTTAGAACAGTCCAACGAAGGTTCCAGTATGCCAGCAAGGAAGAGTCACTCAAGAAAGAACGTACTGCGAGGACACTTGCAGTTATTGAAAGGGCTCAAGCGCTGATTTTGGATGATCCAGGGCAATCGTTCCGAAAATTAGCATCGATTGTTGGTGTAAGCGAGCCAACAATGCGAGTCGAATTGCCGAGGAGGACCTTCGATACAAATCGTACACATTAAAGATACGATGCTCTCTGAGGCTGCCAGGACAAATCGAGTTGTTCGCCCGGGTTCCCATTCTGGCCTCCCAACAACCCAGATTTAAATCCCTTAGACTACTACGTATGGAACGTAATTGAAAGGATCACAAACAAGTCTCGGCATCCCAATGTGACGTCATTAAGGATCGCTATTGAGGTAGCATTCGTCGGTATGGATAGCGTTACATTACAACGTGCGTGCGAATGCTTCAGACCGAGAATAGAGACCATTCAAGCTAATGGGGGATATATCGAATAATTGTGTTCTACAGGGAGTTTCCCAAGTGCCATGTAAAAGGATTTTTTGTAATATTGAATTTTTCATTAAAAGCATTTTATTTAAAGAAATTATTCGATTTGTCCGGACTTTGGTGATGGAAAAATAGTCAAAATTTTGAAAAAAAATTAAAAAATTTAGTATAAATTATTTATTAAATTGCTCCTCGAATTCAATTAAAAAAAATTTTTGACATAATTCCAATAAAATCAAGTTTCAAGAGATTAATATTATCTAACGCTTTACAATTAGTACAGTTTCCTTTAATATTCATTGTCAACAGTAATTAGAATTACAAATTTATCTATCTAATGGCATTGTCTTATAATAATATTTCTAATCTATTTGACATATATTTGGATTCACATAGTGATATTTTTAAAGATTAAACTAATTTTTCTTCAAGCTAAATATTCTATTTGAATTATCATTTTTCTCAATTATGATGGAATATTCTAAAATTATATGTAAAATATACACAAAAACAGCATATTTTTTCGCAAATATGTATAATTTTTGATTGAGCTTTAGCTTAAGTTTTAACATAGGTGCAAATGTACATCGTTCGAGAAAATCTGCGAATTCGTGTGTGCGAAAGAGTAACATAGTTGAAGATTTTAATTCAGTTTCAGCACGTATAATTATGCGCACGGCAAGAAACTTCTCCTTCGGGCTCTGCCGTATCCGGGATCTTAAGCCGCTTAGTTAGCTGTAAAATAGCGAGGCTGCTGCCCGGGGGAACAAAGAAAATACGGATTATACAGGAACATTCGACGTTCACGAGACTCGTCCGTTTATCCTGCCAAAAGGGTTATTAAAACCAATATAACCGTGAGGATAATTACGTAAAACTTGGCGTAGTTTTCTTTGGAATTTTGACATAAAGATGCGCATACGAATCCACAGCAAAATTTTCGCGAAATGTGAATCTTTCTGATGATGCGAGACATTTTTATTAATATTATACTTACTTTTTGAAAAGAATAAAATTAAAATCTATTTTAATATATAATGCTGTTTCAACAGAAAGGAATAGAGAAGATTAGCACTACGGCATGGTAATTTCAGTTAAAGCTTTAGCCGGAGACATCCTGCAAAGACAGTTAAATGATAAAGATGGATTTCGTTGTGATGTTATATTCATAAAAAGCAACAAAACAATAAAAAATTTGTTATCTTACTTCAATACTTTTCATTATAATTCAAATAAGCAATCCAAAGTTTACAATATATTTATCTTAGGCTCAAAATTGTATAAAGTTAATAATATAATTATAATTTCCAACAAATTTTTATCACTACTCTTACTATTAAACAAACAAAGTATTCAGATGCTTTTTTTTATAAGTGTAATATTTTTTTTTTTCGATTTCTAAAAATAATACTTTTTCTTTTGTTAAAATAATTCTTTTGTTAAAAAGTTCAAATAAATCCATGTATCTGCAGATTAATTTTCTTAACATTGGTTATGTTAATCTAATTATTTATTAAATAAGCTCTATTAAACGATTTCTATATATATTATGATTGAGAGAGATTGAGAGAGAGAGATTGAGAGATTGAGAGAGAGAGAGA